CGAGAGTATCTTGCCTACATGGCAAAGCCTGGCAAGCTCCCTGTGACGTATTCGATGTGCCAAACACAGTAACAAGTCTTACAATGGTTACTGGACCCGCTCGAGCAAATCAATGAACAACAGGAGGACAGTGCAGTGCAGTGTGCTTGTGTGTTTGCGTGTGTGTGTGTACGTGTGTGTGTGCGCGTGTGTAGGACCACACACTGTGGTCCTGAGTGGTGCTGAGTTCCCTGGGCAAAAACAGTTTAGGTCTTTTAGAATATGATTTACTTGCAAGCAAAAAATTGAAGCCTAGGTAAAAATGGAATAGATAAGAGGACCAGCAAAAATGTTCCCAGGAGGGGCTGGAGCAATAGCACAGTGGGTAGGGCGTTTGCCTTGCACTCAGCCAACCTAGGTTCGATTCCCAGCATCCCATATGGTCCCCCGAGCACCGCCAGGAGTAATTCCTGAGTGCATGAACCAGGAGTAACTCCTGTGCATTGCTGGGTGTGATCCAAAAAGCAAAAAAAAAAAAAAAAAATAGTGCCCAGGAAAGAACAGAAAAAGACAGAAAAGACAGCTTGTTTAGGGTCTTTTAAATGTAGAGTGCAACAAAGGCATTAATATAATAGGAAATGGTAAGGACCTTTGCTCTATAGGTCCCCGCTGATTGGCTGTGAGAAACACCCCAGCCTCCGCTCATTAAGTACCTATTAAATGCGGATGTACTTACTCACTAACTGTCCTTAATGTCTCTGTCAACTTAAAAGATGGCTCATGTATTGGGAGCCAGGGCAGGAGAGCAATAGTGTAAAGAATAAATGGCCAAGTGTTACTTCACTGCGGGCTGCCCAGAAGACCCTAAAACTTGGACAGTCCTTGGGGCTAGAGAGATAGCACAGCGGGTAGGGCATTCGCCTTGGACACAGCCGACCCGAGTTCGATTCCCAGCATCCCATATGGTCCCCTGAGCACCACCAGGAGTAACTTCTGAGTGCAGAGCCAGGAGTAACCCCATGCATTGTCGGGTGTGACACCCCCCCCCCAAAAAAAAGCAGAAAGAAAAACTTGGACAGTCCTTGTGTATTTGTCTCTTTATGTGTCTTTTTGTATCATTTCCTTTTTTTTTCCTTTTTGGGTTACACCCGTCAATGCTCAGGGGGTATTCCTGGCGGTGCACAGGTGAACCATATAGGATGCCTAGTCGAACCCGGGTCGGCCGCGTGCAAGGCAAATGCCCTCCCCGCTGTGCCCAGGTGGAGGTTGATTGTGCCAATCTGACTGGTTTTAGGTAAGGAGTTAGGCCTGGCTTTGTGCTCTGGGTCACTCCCAGCACTTCTCAGGGGTCCAATGTGGTGCCTGGGATGCAACCGGAGCCTCCTGCATGAATTCTAGCCAGTTGAGCCGACTTTCTGGTCCCATTTGATAGCACAGCGGTAGGGCGTTCGCCTTACAAGCGGCCAACATGGCCAACCCGAGTTCAATTCTTCCGCCCCTCTCGGAGAGCCCGGCAAGCTACCGAGAGTATTCGATATGCCAGACACAGTAACAACAAAGTCTCCAATGGAGACGTTACTGGGCCCGCTCGAGCAAATCGACGATCAACGGGAGAGCCTTTTGTTCATCTAATTGTAAGTATATTGGTAGAAAGGTATACTAATGATTATTTAATTGTTGATTTAATTATATTTTTAACTAAGGATTATTTTTAAATTGATTACCCCAAATCCTCTCAGGCATCTCTAATGATATGTATTTTTCACAATGGCAAATACTGGGTTATATAATAAGGGAGTGGCTTGGAATGCCTTCAAGAGCCTTGAAGAAATAGCTAAGAGGATGAAGAACCTCTGGCTCTGGGCACATCTCTTAGATTTCACGGTTCTTCCTGCATTAACATATGCCTCAGAGACCTGGGCCCTACGCAAACAGGATGAGAACGCTATTCAGGTCTCCCAAAGAGGAATTGAAAGAGCTATGCTTGGAGTATCACGCTTCACTCAAATGAGAGAAAGAATCCGGAGTTCCAACCTTTGCCGATGGTCAAGAATCAGGGATGCTGTCTCATTTGCCAAGGTGTCGAAAATCAGATGGGCTGGACACATAATGAGATTTGAAGACGACCGCTGGACTAGAGCCATTACCGACTGGATTCCACGAATTCCACATCAAAAGATCATGTGGCTGCCCACCTATGAGATGGTCAGACTTCTTTGTCAAGACCCTGAACGATCGGTTTGAGGCTCTTTGTTTTCCTAGAATGAGCAGATGCCATTGGGCTACATTAGCACGCAACAGGGATGAATGGAGACGTTACTGGCGCCTGCTCGAGCGAATCGATGAGTAACTGGATGTCAAGTGATCATAATAAGGGAGGAAAAACAGCAAAAAACTGTTTAATGTATGATTACTTTATTTATTGTTTGGTGATTCTGGGAATCCAACCAGGGTTTCAGATATGCAAGAGAAGTGTTCTAACCACTGAACTACATCTTTTACCCTTTTGTAAATTTTTTTTGGCTGGCACACAACTGACCCCAGTTTGATCCTTGTTTTTGGTTTTGTTTTTGGGCCACACCCAGAGATACTCAGGAATCACTCCTGGTGGTTCTCAGGGTACTATATGCAATACTATATATTCATATATAGATTGATACTATATTCAATCCAGGGATTGAATCCGAACTGGCCACATGCAAGGCAAGTACCTTTCCCGGTCTACTATTGCTCTGGCACCCTTTCATTTTATTTCTAATAATTATTTTTATTTGCCTTTTCTTTGGGGAACACATTGGTGATCCTCTGAGACTCTCCTGGCTCTGTGCTTGGGGGTTGTTCTTGCAGTGCCCAGGGGAGTATGTGATATAGGGGTTTGCACACAAAGCATGTACTCCAGCTCTCTGAATATCTTCCTGGCCGTCTTCCAGGTGTGTGTTTCCCCATCTGTCTACACCCAGGCTATTCCTGGCTCTGTGCTCTGGAATGACCTCTGGGGCCAGAGAGCATGTGTATTAGGACACTCCTAGGCTATTCCTGGCTCTGTGGTCTGGAATGACCCCTGGGATGGAGAGATAGAATGACAAGTAAGGCACTTGCCTTGCACACAGCTGACCCCAGTTTGATCCTTGGCACCATATATGGTCACCTGAGCCCCCCCCCCCCCAGGAGTGTTCTCTGAGCTCAGAGAGCCAGAAATATGCCCTGAACATGGCTTGGGCATAGTTCAAAAACAAAAAAATGGAGTGCTCAAGAACTAACCAGGGCCAGCTGGCTGAAGGGCAAGTGCCTTTCCTTCTGTACTATCTCTCTGACCCACTGGACATTTTATATATATATATATATGTGTGTGTGTGTGTGTGTGTGTGTGTGTGTGTATGTGTGTGTGTATGTTTGGGGAGGCACACCCAGCAGTGCTCAGGGGTTTACTCCTGGTTCTGCACGCAGGAATTACTCCTGGTGGGGTTCAGGGTACCATATGGTATGCCAGGGATCGAACCCTAATCAGCTGCGTGCATAACAAAGACCCTACCCACTGGGCTGTTGCTTCAGTCCCAAACCAAGTTTATTTATCTTCTTTACTTTACCTTCTTTCACACCCCACTTTTTGAGTTCTTTTATTTATTTTTTTAAAAGATTTTTATTAGTGAAACACCTTGAGGTACAGTTGTAGCCGTACAGATTTTTGTGCTTGGGTATCAGTTATACAGTGATCAAGTACCCATCCCTCCACCAGTGCCCATTCTGCACCACCAATGATCCCAGTACCCCTCCCACCCCCCATCCCCCACATCCCTCCCTGGCTCTGTGGCAGGGCATTCCCTTTTGTTCTCTCTCCTTTTGGGTGCTGTGCTTTACCTTCTTTAATTCTTTTGGGGCTGGAGCAATAGCACAGTGGTAGGGTGTTTGCCTTGCACGCAGCCGACCCGGGCAACCCAGGTTCGATTCCTCTGCCCCTCTTGGAGAGCCCAGCAACCTACCGACAGTATCTCGCCCGCACGGCAAAGTCTGGCCAGCTACCTGTGATGTATTTGATGTGCCAAACACAGTAGCAACAAGTCTCACAATGGAGATGTTACTGTGCCCGCTCGAGCACATCTATGAACAATGGGAGGACAGCGCTACTCTAATTCCTTTTTTTTTCTTTTTGGGTCACACCCGGCAATGCTCAGGGGTTACTCCTGCTTCTGCACTAGGAGCATATGGGATATGGGATATGGGATGCTGGCTGGGAATCAAACCTGGGTCAGCCACATGCAAGGCAAACTCCTTCCCCACTGGGCTATTGCTCCAGCCCCGCTACTCTAATTCTTTTATAGGCGTACAGTGGAGTTTTCCAGAAATCAATGAAGTGTGATGATGTCATCATTACCAAAGCTGAAATATTTTTTTTCTTCTTTTTTTCCTGCTTTTTGGGTCACACCTGGCAATGCTCAGGGGTTACTCCTGGTTCATGCACTGAGAAATTACTTCTGGTGGTGCTCAGGGGACCATATGGGATTCTGGGAATTGAATTCGGGTTGGCTGTGTGCAAGGCAAACACCCTACCCACTGTGCTATCGCTCCAATCCCCTATTCTTTCTTCTTGTGTCTCAAAATTCTCTTGTTTAAGTTCGAATGTGGTGATATGAGTAGATATACCACAGTTTGTTTTTTAAATAGCAGGAGTATTGAGACTAAAGATACTAGAACCGCTCAAGTAAAGCCTTAGAATCAAAGTGGCAGATGTGGTTGTCCAATCAATTAAAGTTTCTTTTTGTTTGTTTAAATTTCATTTAATGGGACTGGAGAGGTAGTACAGTGGTTAGAGTGTTTGCCTTGCACACAGGCAACCCAAGTTCGATCCCCGGCATCCCATCTTGTCCCCGGAGCACAGTCAGGAGTAATTCCTGGGTGCAGAGCCAGGAGTAACCCCTGAGCATTGCCAGGTATAACCCAAAAGGTAAAACAAATTCACTTATTACATTCGCATTTTGTGAACACTGTGATTTGGTTTTCATTAAAAAACGTTACACTATGGCACCCGCTGAAAGTCACCCGTGGCCTCGCCTGTGGCGATGGGTGAGATTTGGCGCCCAGAGCACAGGGGCTTCAGCTCATGGTCCACTTCTGGTGTGGGGAGGTGAAACCCAGGCCCCGACAACGCCCTGCGTGACCCCAGGACAAGATGGGATGCCGGGGATCGAACTCGGGTTGACCGCATGCAAGGCAAACGCCCTACCCGCTGTACTCTTGCTTCAACCCCAACTGTGTGATATTTTTAATCAAATCAAATCTGATTCTTTTTGCTTCTTTTGCAGTGCTGGTGGCGTGCTGAGTGCTGAGAGCAGCAGGCCACCCCTTGTAGTTCTGTGAGCTGATCCATGCTTGACTGCTCAGTTCTTCAGTCGCTGATACGGTATAGTTGGCCCCCTCGGTGCTGGGGGCAAGCTGGTCCTCCTAGTTTGTGCTCAGAGGCCCACCTGATGGTGCTTGGGGTCCTCCAGGGATATACCAGTGTCATTTGGGTTACCAGGCGGTGCTGGGGATCAAACCTCAGGCTATTGCATGCAAAATATGTGATGTAGCCCTTTGTCCTAGCTCAAATTTGTCCTAGCTGTCAAATTTGAATTTAAAAACAAGTACTCATTGTTGGACTAACAAGTTAAAATCAAGATGTTTTGTTTGGTGGTGGGGGGGAGGGGAATCTGGCCACGCTCAGGGGCTGTTCCTGACTCCATGCTCCTGGATCACTCCTGGTAGTGCTCAGAGGACTATATGCAGAGCCAACTGGCACTGTCACTGTCCTCCCCTTGTTCATCGATTTGCTTGAGCGGGCCCAGTAATGTCTCCATTGTGACACTTGTTACTGTGTTTGGCATATTGAATATGTCACGGGGAGCTTGCCAGGCTTTGCTGTGTGGGCTACTGTCGGTAGCTTGCCAGGCTCTCCGAGAGGGGTGGAGGAATCGAACCAGGTCGCCCAGGTGGGCCGCCTGCAAGGCAATTGCCCTACCCGCTGTGGTATCACTCCAGCCCTATTTTTTTTTCAATCTTATTCATACAGATTTTTCTATATTTATTAAGCCTTTGAATTTTATTTTATTTTTAAAAAAATTTTTATTAGTGGCAAACCAAGAGGTACAGTTGTAGACTTACAAATTTTTGTGCTTGGGTTTTAATTATACAATGATCAAGTACCCATCCCTCCACCAGTGCCCGTTTTCCACCACCACGGAACCCAGTATCCCTCCCACCCCCATACCCCCCCATCCCATCCTGCCTCTGTGGCAGGGCATTTTCTTTTGTTCTCTCTCCTTTTGGGTTCCAGCCCTATTTTTTAATAATTTTTTTTGAAGAATCAGACAGGAACTACCTTCATCTTTACACCCAAATGAAATTCAGTTGAATTAAATCTTAATACATTCAGGCTGAGGAGAACAGCCAAAAAACTGGGCATATACTTTGCATTCAGGAGGCCTAGATTCAATGCCTGGCACCACATGGTCCTCTGAGCATTGTTTGGGAGTGATCGTAAGCAAAGAGCTGGGAGTAGTTTCTGAACATCGCTGGGTGTGGCTGCCCAAATAAATTTTTAAGAAACATGTAAATAGGGGCTGGAGTGATAGCACAGCAGGTAGTGTGTTTGCCTTGCACTCGGCAGATCTGGGTTTGATTCCCAGCATCACATGTGATCCTCCGAGTACCGCCAGGGGTAGTTCCTGAGTGCAGAGCCAGGAGCAACCCTTGAGCATCGCTGGGTATGGCCCAAAAAGCAAAAAAACAAAACAAAACAAAACATGTAAATAAATAAAGATGCACATAGCAAAAAGATAGGGTTGGGGAAACAGTTCGAGTGTTAGGTCACAGGCAAGAGGCCCTGCGCTTGGTCCTGTCCTGAATTACCAAAAAGAGCTTCGTTTTGTGACCCTGGTCTACTTCATTAAAAAAAGAAACACCCGGGGACTGGAGCGATAGTACAGCTGGTAGGGCGTTTGCCTTGCATGTGGCCGACCCGGGTTCGATCCCTGGCATCCCATATGGTCCCCCAAGCACAGGAGTAATTCCCAGTTGCAGAATCAGGAGCAGCCCCCGAGTGTCTCTGGGTGTGACCCAAAAATGAAAAAAAAAACCCACCCAAGCTTCCCCGAACATTAAGAAGATAGAAAATATATACCTGAAGATGGTATAGCTGAGATACGCCAGACCTGGGTTCAATTCCTGGCACCACGTGGTCCCCTAAAGTATTCCTGAAAGTCCTACAGCACTGCCAGGTGTAGCCTAGAGATCCCAGCACCACCACTGGCCCTGAGCAGCGCCACAGCCTCTGGCCCTTGCATTCGCCTGAGGACTTGTTTGGCTGAGATCACAGGTTCGGCTCCTGGACCAAGTACCCCCACCGTGCCCCGGCCTCAAGCAACAGAAGATAGAAGACATGCTATGAGAAAGCAACACACAGAATCCGGAAAGCATAAGGGAAACGTGTGATGAGTCTGACGATGTAAAAGCGAAAAAAGAATAAATCTGTGGCAACTTTAGTCAATGACAGAGGTCTAATACAACTGGTCTTGTTAGAAAACGTTTTTACATGATATGGGAGGAAGGGTTGATTTTTCTTTCCCTCAGCATCACATAGATGAATCAGAAAGAGGCAACTGTTCACAAATAGTTCATTTTACGGAAAAATAAGCACAAATCACCAACAAACGGGAACTAATTTGCAACCCCTGTCCTAATTAAAGAAATTCAAATTAAGGCAGCATTGAGAAATGATACTCATCAATCAAACTGACAAATGTCTTCAAATTTACTGCTGACTAAGTGCAGGGAAACCACATACCATGTCCCAGTAAATTGACAGTCTTGCTAGAAGATATTTTGGTTATCATGAATAAAATAGTAGCACTGTAGCACTGTCCTCCCATTGTTCATTGATTTGTTCGAGTGGGCACCAGTAACGTCTCCATTGTGAAACTTGTTGTTAATGTTTTTGGCATATGGAATATGCCACGGGGAGCTTGCCAGACTCTGCCGTGCGGGTGGGATATTCTTTTTTCTTTTTTTTTTTTTGCTTTTTGGGTCACACTTGGCGATGCACAGGGGGGGTTACTCTTGGCTCATGCACTCATGCACTCAGGAATTACTCCTGGCGGTGCTCAGGGGACCATATGGGATGCTGGGAATCGAACCCGGGTGGCCCGCGTGCAAGGCAAATGCCCTACTGGCTGTGCTATCGCTCCAGCTCCCCCTCCACTTTTATTTTTGGGGAGATTATTCCATGTCCTTTAACATAATTGGTCTATTTAGAGTTTCTATTTTTTATTGAGTTTTGGGACGTTGTGTAATTCTAAAAATGGATTCATTTATTCTTGGGTCTCCAACTTGGTGGCATAAAGTTATTTATAGTAACCTCTTACAGTTTTTTTTTTGCATTTTTGGGTCACACCCAGCGTTGCACAGGGGTTATTCCTGGCTCATGCACTCAGGAATCACTCCTGGCGGTGCTTGGGGGACCAGTATTCATGTCTAATGAGAGTGTTTCTGGGAAATACCTCTGGAAAGGTTGAGTGGAATGTCCTCCGTGAACCTCAGTGAATTGTGTTCTTTGTAGACTAGTGTGTATAGAAAGGAACGCATCATTAAGCAAAACCTCTGCTTGTTTCTCTGACTTGGCCATATACCTCCTTTATTGAAATGTGGACCCACAATTCACTCTACATATTTTCTTTTAGTATTTTCACGTAGTTTTAACATAGTTTTGCTAGTAGATTTTCAAAATCCACAACAGAAATCGCTTCAAGAGGGGATCTTTGCAAACTTTCGGGTTTGTCTTCCTGACTGTGCTTAGGGCTAATACCTGGCTCTATGCTCAGGGGTCATTCTTGGTAGGGTTTGGGGATCATAGGTTAGCTGGGTGAAAGACAAATGCTTTACCTGCTGCACTATCCACCCTGGATAGTGATTTATATATAGTTTTTTTCTTTGGTGTATCACATTGCTCTGCATATATGGGACCACCCTTGCATCACTGGAAGGAATCCCACTTGATCCTTTTTTTTGATATATTCTTGGATTTGATTCACAAGACTTGTTGAGGACCTTTGCCTATAGTCCATCAGAGATATTGACCTATAATGGTTTTTTTTTTTTTTTTTGCTTTTTGGGTCACACCCAGAGATGCACAGAAGTTACTCCTGGTTCATGCACTCAGGAATTACTCCTGGCGGTGCTTGGGGGACCTTGTGAGATGCTGGGAATCGAACCTAGGTTGGCTGCGTGCAAGGCAAACGCCCTACCCGCTGTGCTATTGCTCCAGCCCCAACCTGTAATGTTTTTACTAACATCTCTGTTTGCTTTTGGTATTAGAGTATTATTGGTTCCAGAGAAAGTATTAAGAAGGATTCCCGTCTCTTCGATATTTGGTAAGAATTTGAGAAGTGTAGGTAATATGTCTTTGAAGTTTTGGTAGAATGTACTGATGAACCCATCTGGACCTCCACTTTAATTAAATTAATTAATTAATTTTTTGCTTTTTGGGCCATACCCGGCGATGCACAGGGGTTGCTCCTGTCTCATGCACTCAGGAATTACTCCTGGTGGTGCTCAGGGGACTATATGGGACGTTGGGAATCGAACCTGGGTTGGCCGTGTGCAATGCAAGCACCCTACCCGCTGTGCTATCACTCCAGCCCCCCTCCACTTTTATTTTTGGGGAGATTATTCCATGTCCTTTAACATAATTGGTCTATTTAGAGTTTCTATTTTTTATTGAGTTTTGGGACGTTGTATAATTCTAAAAATGGATTCATTTATTCTTGGGTCTCCAACTTGGTGGCATAAAGTTATTTATAGTAACCTCTTACAAATTTTTTTTTGCATTTTTGGGTCACACCCAGCGTTGCACAGGGGTTACTCCTGGCTCATGCACTCAGGAATCACTCCTGGTGGTGCTTGGGGGACCATATGGGATGCTGGGAATCGACCCCAGGTCGGCCACGTGCAAGGCAAATGCCCTACCCACTGTGCTATTGCTCCAGCCCCAACCTCTTACAAATTTTTGTATCTCAATTATCTGTTGCAATTTCTCCCTTTTCTTTTTTCTTTTTTTTTTAACCAGTTTTTTTTTCTTTCTGGATCACACCCGGCGATGCACAGGGGTTACTCCT